TATAAAGTATAAACTAATGGAAGTAGGCCACAAAAATTCAAAATTGCTAGGGCACCCTTCTTTGCAAACTCTCAAACTAGAAAGCTTATGTTTTTCTTCCTAACCTCTCTCTGTTAACTGTCTTTCCCGAGAAGAAGGGTCTTAGGTCAAAGAAAAAGTTTATCAGTCTAATGATTTTCAAAATCACATTAATTTCAAGTAAAGATACCCTTGTATACAATGAGTCCAAAAACTCCAAAAGGTAGCGTTATTGCAAGAGGAAATTTCAAGGGCTAATCATGTTGAGCAAAAGCTCATATTACAACTCCCTAGAACAAGAATTAAATGCCAAACCAACGCAGCAGACTTTTCTAGAATATAAAACTAGTAATGAAATTTTCAAAATTAATCTCAACAAATGATTGGTGATCTGACAATGCTTAGAAATGGTGAGTGAACTCTGAGTCAGGCTGACAGAAACCAAACCAGCAGGTTCTCGACCACTGGATGCCCCCTTGTGCCCCAAACCTCAAGATTAATATTGATGCTGCGTGGAACCAACACAATTGTACGGCAGGTGCTGGGGTTATCATCAGGTACGCATGACGGATGTTTCTCGGGACAAGATCGTCTTCTATGGCTGGGGGTTCTGCAATTGAGGTGGAGGCAATGGCGGCCTTGGAGGGATGCCAACTCGCAGTCGGAAGAGGATTGTCACATGTTTTCTCCCTTCTGCTTTATTGCATTGTATTTCCTTTCTCGTTGTATGTTCCTATGTCCAATGAAAAGTGCAAGTTTCTTACAGAACAAAAAAAACAGTAGACCGAATTGGCTATTGGATTAAACATAAAGACAAAATTGGTTGAATTAATAAGAGACCAAATTGATGAATTGATAAGAGACATTTAGGAATTTGACCCCAAAAATAAAAACACAGCAAAGTCATCCAGAATAGGAAAAAAAAAGCTCTGCTAATAACTATTTGGTCTATTAACACAAAGTGGCCCCTACAATGCCAGTGCATATGGACAACCCAAGGTTCTACATTTTCTAATTTCATTTGTAAGTCACCGTAATTGAGCATGAAAATGTATACAAATTCAACTGAAACTACATTGCAACATATAGATGGCTCACTTCTAAAATCCTATATTCCAATGAGGTGAATCAAGTCCAATTATTCGACCCCATACAACAAAGAAAAATTCCCAGCTTGCTATTACGAACTCAAAACTAGTTCCTCCTTTCCATGGGTTAAATTTAAAATTGCCGTAAGCCATGACTGCACAGTTCAGGAACCTCCATGACGGTGATAGAGTATTGACCGAGAAATGGCAGCAAGATTAAACAAGATGACGAGCGCCACGATGAAATCATCCACGTAACCAAGTAAACCAAACATTGCTGCAGGATCACAAAGCCAGGATGATGTAGTAATAGTGTGCTACTCAATGTTTTCAAAGGCGAGGCGTATAGGCGAGGCGTTTTTAGTAGTGCTACGCGAGGCGTAAGCCTTGAAGTATTGAGGCGTAAGCCTTTTGAACATTAATTTATTTTAGTAAGAAAAATTTATGAATAATACAATACAATTAAATTGTACAACTAATTCTTATTGAACCATAACAATCTTTTAAATATAATTAAATATAAGTACTAAATGTGCATCTCAAGTATTTTTCCCCCTCTATTTCTTTTGCATACTTCCATGTAGGATCTTTTCGATTCATAGCTATAAAACAATTAATATTTCTAAGATACAAGTATGATGCATATACGTCAAATTTCTACTATATCATATAAACGAATAAGATAACTAATATATTTTTAAAAAATTGAAAAAAAAAAATACGGAACTTCAAATTACAGTTGCGAAGAATTAGAGAGAAAAATAAATGACTTACTTGCAGTTGAAAAACGAAGAGAATTCTTGAAATTGATGGAGATTATCTAGTAAGGGTAGAAATTAGGGTTGTACTATATATATATATATGTGTGTGTGTGTTTTAATATATTAATTTAGGAAAAAAAAAAAGAAAAAAAAAGAGGTAAGTAGAAAAGCTACAGTCGGCTGGAGATAGAAAAGGCAAGAAGATATTAATTTTCTTGCTTTAAGTTTATTACAAATTAAGGGAAGTAAAAAAAAAAACAGAAACTTGCGTGTTTTCTTTTTTTCAAAACACTCCAAGTGAAACGACGTCGTTTCACTTTAAGTTTTTTTTTTAACACTTCAATCGAAACGACGTCGTTTCATTACAATTAACCTAAAAAAAAACCCACGCGAGTCGTCTTCCTCGCAGAGCCGCAGCCAATTTGCAGACTCCCAAAATTTCTTCCAGTTCTGAGTGTCCAGATTTGCTGCCGCCTTGCTCCGCCTCGTTGCGCCTTGCTCCGCCTCGCTGCGCCTTGAAACGCCTCCTCACGCCTTCCCAGCGCTAAACGTGCAACTCGCGAAACAAACGACGCCTTGAGGCTATTTGCTGCCGCCTCGCTCCGACGCGCGCGTGCCTTTGAAAACACTGGTGCTACTTACTAGAACAACTCAACAAGAAAAATTCAACCAAATGAAAGTTAATGCATAAAAGCCACCTTCCGGAATAAGGTCAACAGGACTGACTAGGTAGATTGCTAACAATATCATCTGTAAATTCAAAAAAACACAAATTGCCAGAAGGTGAGAACTAAATAATGAACATAAAGTATATCATAAGCTTCAGAATTGACCACCACAACATTATACATTCATTTGAAGGGGAAAAGATAACACCTGATAATGCATAACTATCAGTAGAAAAGAGACCTATTAAAAAATTACGCAACACAGATGATTTCTCATCATGGTATGAAGTAAAAAACTAGAAGAAATTTGATGACTACTCTTCAAAATATACTTACTCTACACATAGAGATGATGAAGATAGTGAAAATTTTGAACCTCATAGGAACTCTATGTGGTACTAAGTCACTCATGTATCTTACCATGCAATGTATAAAGTGTAAAATATTGTAGTAATTCATTATATATAAATGATTATGGTGTGTTTAATCTTCTTTCATTAATTACTACATATTTTCTACACTTACGGTGTTTGCCAGCTCGCTATATAATCAACTTAAATCAGTTAAATCCATCATGCAATGCATTTCCTTCCAATTTTTTTGTGATAAACTAAGAGATAATTGACTAAATAAACATCCTGCAAAGTTTCAATAAAAATTTCCAAGTTTTTCTTACAATTTCCGTGGTTTTTATTTAATTTTTTCCGATACCGATAATATCTCGATATTTCCTGCGATATTTCCGTGTTTTTTGACTTCCGATATTTCCGATACCTCCGATATTTAAGACCTTGCTCGAAGGCCAACTGCCGGACTCCTTAGGAATGTTAACAAGTCTGCAGCATCTACACCTTTCAGGGCTCTTACTTTGGGGTTCAATTCCAGAATCTATTGGAAACTTGTCATCCTTGAAAACACTGGACTTGTCTTATAATTATATGAACGGCTCCATTCCAGAAAGTTTGGGAAAACTCTCCGAGCTAGCTGAACTGGATCTGTCTTATAATTCATGGGAAGGCATTTGTTCGGTTCATTTTTACACATGATTTTTCATGTTATTCACCCACTATTTTGAGTTAGTTCTTGACATTTTATAG